TAGAGGTAGCTGAAAAGGAAAACTGCTTTACAGCAAGACGTAGCACTGGGCAAGCAGACTTTCAACAAAATAGAAATGGAACAAAGCCTGTGTTCAATAAAGTCAATTGCATTAAATTTTTAAGCATGTAATTATTGAAAACATCTACAGTCTTAGAGGATAATCAACATGCTGAAAGAAATCTGCCACATAGAAAAAATAATTCACATTCAGGTTGTTCAAAGAATTCCTTTGTTAATAAAACAACTGAAAACTGGGCAATAAGCAGGCAATTCTTTCAGTAAGAATTAGTCAATGAACATGAACTTGAGCTCAGCATGAGGAGAACTTTAACTGTACTAGTAACCAAGGGCAAAATGATTTAACATAAGACAACTAACTGTATGGATTTAGTGTAACCAAGTAGAGAAATTGTAATAGATTACTAGGACCTCCTTGTACCCAGGAAATATTGGGTATTCTAACATGCTGCTGACAGGATTATATCTTGATAGAACTGCTATGGGATAGAATAATCTAGTAATTTCAAAATGGATACACACCATGAGTGAATAACTCTATGACCAAATATCCACCCTAGAAAACACCTGCACACAGGAGACAATACATACTGGTATAGTCAAAGAAACATTCCTTGTGACAGAAAACTCTGGAAATAACCCACATATACATCAGTCAGAAGAGACCAGCTCTTCGACAGCGTGTATATTCAGCAGAACATATTAAGAACTCTTTAAATTTTTATTTACTTATGGTGCTAGGGATTGAATTAAGAGCCTGTTCATGCAAAGCAGGAGTTCTACAACTGATCTACCTCCCAAGTTCCTACAGGATTCTTTAAAATGCTATTTTAAGTGCCTTGGGTTGAAAAAATTGTTACAGAATAAATTCATGTACTAGTTGGGGTGGGGAGAGTAATCAGGCCTTCATATGACCAGATCTGGCCTTCTACTGGCTTGCTGTATAGTCTAAGATGACCCTGAGCTTTTGGTCCTCTTGTTTTTTGTTCATGAGTTCTGTGATTACAGATGTTCACTGCCATGTCTATTCCAGATACTAATTTGTAAAATTTTTCAGAAAGAAAGACTACCTTGAGGCTGAAGGTACAGTGCAGCAATACAGCATTGCTCAGATTGTGCTAAGCTCTAGATTTAGTCTCTGTGACAAAGGGCTGGCGAGGCATGGGGGGTGCTTGCTAGCTAAGCATGATGGTATGCATCCAGAGTCCCAAAGACATGGAAGGCTGAGGGTGGTAGAATGACTTTACTCTGGGAGCTGGAGGCCAGCCTGGGCAACATGGTGAGATCTCTTCTCTAAATGCAGGTGGAGGGTCATACCAGTATTTTCTCTGGGTGTAGTCAATAAAAATGTTTTGTATATACAATAGTAACAGTGGGCATTGCTTGAGAGAGATAAAAGCTGGGATGGGAGAGAGACTACATGGGAATAGACATGATTTTCAACTCAGTATTAAGCATATTGGGACACAAAGTGAAGCATGTATATCTAGTTGCAAAGGCTTCTGGATAACCTGATCTCCAAAAACTCTCCATACAGTCCTGGATGTTTTAGATACCATTAAACAAAAAAAAAGTAAATTTGTATATTTGAATATGCTTTAAAAAGGGTTCCTTCCAGTGAGGCAGTACATTATTTTTATCAAAAAACTTCAATAGCCTGTAATTTGTATGTTACAAAATGGGAAAAATCAATGTGTAAGTAATAAATATACAAAACTATGCAGCTAACTACAACACAGCCACGTACAAATGACAAGATCTAATACCAGCTCTTTCTGTACAAATTCTCCATTGTCTTGAGAACCCTAGCAAAAGGCAGATGCTTGAGGGTCTGCACTGCCGTTTCTGAAGATGCAGTCAAAATCTGCTGCTCTCAGCCCCAGATCTCATGACTGCAGTTCACAAAGCAAGGATAAAAGTTGGAGACACAAATGTTCACCAACTAAAAAGTTGTAGGGCCCACTGGAAATGACCCACAAGTTTTCTGCTTGGCTTACTTTTAATGAAAAGCATCCAAAATAAGAATACAAACAGACTTAAATCTTTTAGTTATTTTTTCATTAGTAAGTAGACTCTCCATTACGTAGAGAAACAAAAAGAATGCAATCTCACATACCCAGCCTCCATTCTGACGTATCCACTCTGCTGTGTTGTTCATTATGAATTCAGCCACAAAAGTGGAAACTTGCTTGTAAGCACCCACATCCAAGCCAACCTGCTCTTGTGGAAGTTTTTTGAGGAGAACACCCCCAAAGGCAAATATAGTCACAATCCTTCCCCAGTTAATAATGCCATCTTCAAATTCTCTTTCCATCACTTGATTGAATATTGTTCTGGCGGTATCTATGGATCCCACATCAAAATCATCCAAGTATAGTTTCAGATTATTTTCCACTTCTTGTTGAACTGAGAAAGCAACTCTTTGTAGCACCCTGGATGTTTTGCTTGGAGCCGATTCAAAAGCAGGTACCTGCAGAACATACTGAAGATAGTCCTCAGCCAGAGAGTGGATGTACATGAACTCGCAGTCAGTCATTGTCCTTGGCAGAGCGAACTGAAGCTGTCCACCTGGAGGTCAAAGAGGCAGCTAAGCTAAAGGCAGGGTTTGACAGAGAAGGGGTAATCATATCTGGAGGCTGCTGGAATTTCTCTTTACGTAGCTCACTGTGTGGGCTGTGTGTGAAAGCAAAAGTTCATACTGTGAAGGAGAAAAATGTTTCAGAGCAATGCCACTTCCTCTTCCTCTTATGATTCAGCTTAAGTGTATTTAATGAGAGGATGTGGGGAAATCAGGCCCCTGAATGTTCTGGGAGCTAGAGGCCCATTCAAAGTCACTCTGGCAATACCACACTTGAGATGTAGATGTGAGTTGAGAGGAGAAAAAGTCAGCTTCTTTCTTTTCATATCTGTAATTTCTTATAGGAGACAATCTGTCCTTAATCCCAACTTAGTACATATTCTTTTGAAAATATGGATCTACTTTTGTTTTATGCCTGTGTCTGAGTGTATGTATATGTAGCATGTGTATACAGTGCCTATGGAACCAGAAGAGGGCATTGGAGCCTTTAGAACTAGAGTTACAGGCAGCCTGGTACGGGTGCTGGAATCTGAACCTGGGATCCCCTGAAACAGCAGCAAGTGCTCTTAAATTCTGAGCCATCTTTCTTGTCCTTAATACATATTCTCAAATCATATATACTATCCTGTACCTGGGCCAGAAATCATGTGAGAATTTAGAAGGAACAATGAATGACCTTAGAGTCACAATGCCTGACCTCAGTTGTAGACAAGTCTTCCTGTTTACTGGGATATGGTCTGAACTTTGTAAAATGAAGCTGTCTAGACTGACTTTAGAGGATTGATGTGAAACTAAAGGAGATGGCCTTGTACCTGGTAAGACACAGGTGCTTCATGGTGCTGTGCTTCATTATTTTATGAACTAGTGATGATTTGACTTCTCAGTCATCTCCTGACCAGGAAATATAGAACTTTAGAAGTCCACAATTTGAAGTTAACAGCAAATCTCTCACTTTTTTGAGCTTTGGTAGCAATTCTGAGAGAAGCTTGGTGGAGATGGTGACATCAATGGCTAACGTAAAGTTGCCGACTTTGGGTTGGAGCTTAAGTTTCTTCACCTAAGTGCATAGCAGTGAAGGCAGATGATAAATGCATGGAGATGAGGAACCATGTGTTGCTGTTGCTTTTCTTTCTTGTCCTGCCAGGACACACAGATGCTTCAGCCCCAAATAAGCACACAATGACATACTAATAATTAAACTGCTGGTTCATGGCTAGGGCTTCTTATCGGCTATCTCTGTCTTAATTATTAACCCATATCTATAAATCTATATTTCCATATGGTCTTGGATTACCAGAGAAGGGTCTAGACTCCTTCTTCCACTACATGGCAACTCCTCCTGGCCTCTCTATCTGCCTCTACCAGAATTATTGTCTCCCAGCCCCGCCTATACTTCCTGCCTGAACATTCAGTGTTTTATTCATCACCAATAAGAGAAACATGTATACAGAAGGATATCCCCCGTCATCCATGCTTGTCTGACAACTTCAAACTGAAGAGCCAGCCAGCGGTGGAAACTAAAAACCATACATTTATTATATTACTCCATAAATGTAGAGCAAGGAACAATGTATCAGGACTGTTGTGTACTAGGTTTCAAAAGAATTTTTCCAGCCTACAAAGAGGATAAACATAACATGCCATACATAGTCCAAGGATCTGCTGAAAGTAATGATTAGAAGAGATCATTCTAGGAGGTTCAAATATAGAGATGCTTCCAGAACTACAAGTTAAGGTGGTTGTAGTCTGAGGCTGTGCAATAATTCTGAAGATCTTAATTTTATCCATTGTGAATTAGGTGGGAAAGGATGATTGGGGAGATAATTGAAGAAAAAATATTTGCCAATGTTTCCATATTTCAAGAGCTTTTGTCTTAGGGCCTGGTATTTATCATAGTGGCAGGGCAGCTGGTTAGCTTGCTTTCCTGGGTTCAACCCCCAGTGACACAAATATGAAAGAAACACATCTATGGCCTGACTAAGCCTTTATTCATGGTTATTTTACCCAGAAGCCACTATTGGGGAACATTGGTAGGCCAGTCAGGACTGAATGAACTACTAGTGACTGCTATGAGAACAACAAGAATATGTGTCATCTTAGTAATGAATTAAGAACTTTATCCTTTGTACAAAGTTTTTGCTGTCAATGTTTGATTATTAGTGTGTAAACCCTTATGTATTTTCATTGCACTTGCAAAAGTACTGCTATATCGAATTGTTTATCCTTATAATAAGCCACCCTCTCAATACTCAAGGTTTAAAATAGTAATCCAGTGTGTGTGAGTGTGTGTGTGTGTGTGTGTGTGTCTGTCTGTCTGTCTGTCTGTCTGTCTGTCTGTCTCATGGCCCTGACATTTGTCAGGACCCAATGGGGCTAATTGGTATTTGTTCCTTAATGTCTAGAACTTGGCTGAAATGACTCAAAACTGTTGGGACTCTTTTCTGACCAAGAAGAAGCAATAGTTGTGATAAGAAACAAGTGGACATAACTCCAAGACCATCCCAGCTGATGAGTACCCAGGATAATGCAAGCTGCAGGACAAAGTAAGTAGCTTTTAAAAGATACGACTGAGGTCTACTTCTCTTTTCTCCACAGGAGGAACCTGAAATTTTGCTGGGCTTTTTGAAGCTTCCTCAGAGGTGGCATGGGGAAGCTCTCACTCTGCTCGGCTCTTTCACTCCTCTGAATTTAGCTACTTCCCTATTCTGAAGCCCTGACCAAGACAAATTCTCTGTTAAGAATGATGGTCTCCACTTATATAAAATGAGGACGTGACCCCTCCAAGATATGATTGAGGAAAAGTTTTCATTGTAGATATGAGAGAGAGTACAACCAGAGGCATATTAAAGAGGTCAGAGCAAGGAGAGAAAGTAGACTAAACATGACCAGTAGACTGAACTGGGCCATGGGGAGAGGAGGAACACAAGAGGAGGAGAAGAGAGAGCAAAGACGAGAGAAGGCCAAGAGAGGGGCTCAGGACCAATAGAGCAAAATGGCAGCATTATACAGGGATGAGAAGCCGGGGAAAGAGAAGCCCATGAGCTGGAGTTTAGAGTAAGGAGTGGGGTGAGAAGAGCTAAGAAGAGCCATGGACTCTTTGTACTTGTAATGCTGAGAGACTCTGGAGGCCAAAATATTCTTGGTATGCTAATAGGTACACTTTAGCCATTTGTCCCCATTTTCCTTTGGAACTGATACACTAATAACACAGTTGAAGCACGAAAGAGAATGATAAGCAAAAGACTCCATTGGTGTGTCTTCTATGGCCTCCTTCAGTCCTGTAGGGTCAGGCCTTCAAAGTCAGAAAAATCCACTGGCGACAAACTCATCCCCCTATTTCCATGGCTTATTAGTTTTTTGTTTTAGGTTTTGTTTATTTGTTTGCTTTTCTTTTGTTTAAAAAAATAGAGGCTCAGAGTGACCAGGTTTCTGGTAGAAGTTGCATTTCTCACTAAGGAGACTAAATCCCAGGCTGTCCTGTGATCACAGATGCAAGCAAGAGTTCCCCTGAATTTCTTCTTATGTTTACGAGGAAGGATCAAGATGGTTCTGGAGAGACCCAACTAGCTGTCACCTCAGTAGGTGGATTGATACCTAAGAAAACAGGGAAGTGTTGTGTGTCCTGGCTTGTGAGGTAGAATGTTATCTAAGGATATAGAGGCAAAAGGAAATGAAAGGGCGAAAGAATGTAGGAAGTGAACCAAGGAATGGGAACCAGCGGAGAGGCTATCTTTAAGGACACAGTCAGGAAACCTCTACTGTTTTACTGTCGGCTTAGCAGCTGCATCTGAACCTGCTGCTATTTTAGCTACTGTCTGTGTCCCCACAGTTGGTGCCCCTCTGCTCAGGTTGTGTCCTGGTGGGACTTCCAGTCCTGCTGGCTGGCACCTGTTCTGCCATTGCCACCAAATGTAGTTTTTAACTAAGTCTCTCTTTATCATTCTGACTTGGGAGTCAGACACTGGAGTGAAAACATGCTAGCTCAGAGAGGTCTAGAAACAACAACTGACCTTCCTCTTTGGCTGAAGACCCAGCAAAAGAGAATCTCTCCAGCCGTCTCAAAGCAAGAAGACTGCCAAAAAACTCCAGTCTCCCTACTACTTCCTGTGTGTCTCTCCATCTCCATCCATCTTCCTTGCTCCCACACACTCTGTTGTACAGTGCAGCTACTGTACGCTTTGAGCTACAAGCTCATAGCTCTCGAGTAGTACTATCTCACCTTTGATTTCTCTGGAAGGCCTGGCTTAGGCACTGGTACATACGAAACACATAGTAAATGTTCACTGGGTTCTGTAGCATTATTGAGTATTTAGTGTATGCCCTGATATAAACTCAGGTTGATATTGTACCCAAAACTATCTTAGCTTTTCTGTTAAGTTTTACTCAGCAAATCAAAAAGAAAATGTTCTTTTCTTCCAGATATCATCTCAGGGGAAGTACAAGGGGAAGGCCTGTTTAAATAGGACCTTTGAGTCATTGTGGTAGAGGGCCTTGGGATTTCCACTGCCCAGAATGGAATGGCAAAGAGCACACATAGCCAAAGAAGCAGAAGTACTTGGTGGCAGCAAGGAAACTGGGTCTCTCAAGGGCAATTTTCTACAAGTGCCAAGACCTAAACATTCAGCAGAGAGCAAAGTACAGAGAATTGACAGCTATGCAGCACGCCAATTGCTCTCTACTGAGTACTTGCCTCATGCCAGGTCCTGAGCTGGGCTCCAGGCATCTAATACTGTGTGAACCAACAACAACAACAAATCAAACTGCAGAGTGTCACAGTACAAAATAATACAAAAGACAAAGTGGGGGCTTCTTTTCTGAGAAGACTGGCATCAAAGTTGGCTTTTAGAGATAAACAAGATATCACCAATCGGAGAGTGCAGCATTGTGAAGTGTGTAATTGTGCTTCACCCGTGTGCTTTGTGGTAAGCTAAAGTGTGGACTCCAGTGTATGAATGATGTGTTCAGAGAAGAGACAGGCATCCAGCTCACAGTAGCCCTGAGTACCGGGTTATAAGTTTTGAGTACTGCATTGTGAGCTGAAAGTAAGAGGGACATTTGAAAGGTTTAACATAGGACAGCAACATGGTTAAATCTGTATCTTAGGACTTCTAATTGGACAACTGTATTTCTAATGGCTTGGATCCTAGGGAAATTGGTGTCATGAGAACCAGATTTATGTAAGTCCTGTATCTGAGAGAAAGTGTGGTATTAGACTTTCTGAACTCAGTTTATTTCATCTAATGATTTCAGTTGCACCTACTTTCTGACAAATGTCGTGATTTCAGTTTTATTTACAGGATCATAAAATTCTGCTGTGGGGGTCTGGAGAGATGGCTTAGTGGTTAAGAACACTGGTCTTCCAGAGGTCCTGAGCTCAGTTCTCAGCAACCACGTGATGGCTTACAACCATCTGTAATGAGATCTGGTGCCCTCTTCTGGCCTGTAGGGGGTACATGCAGACAGAATATCATATACATAATAAATAAATAGACCTTTAAAAATTCCACTGTGAATATGAATCATGTTTCCTTTGTCCATTTATTGTTGATGGACATCTAGCATGATTCTAGTTCAGGCAATTATAAATAGTACAGAAATAAATGTGGAAGTGTAGGTAAGGTATTTCTGTGCTGTGTTAGCTTAGCATCCTTTACATACATACATAAGAGTAACATAGGTTGAAGTGGTCATTCAATTTTTAATTTTTTGAGGAGCCCCCATACTTATTTCCATAGTGGCTGCACAGGTTTGGCTTCCCACCAGCAATGATTAAGGATTTTCCTCCCCTTGCCCCTCCCCTGTCCTCTCATACATTTTGTTATTTGTTTTCTTGATCATGGTCATTCTAACTGGGTAGAATTGGAATTTCAAAACAGTTTTGTGTCTCCTTGATGATTTTGAACACTTTTCCAAGTACTTACTGTCCATTTGTGTTTCTTCATTTGAAATCTATTCAGTTCATGGGCCCATTTACTGATCTGGATGCTTTGTTTTTATGTGTTCCTTTTAACAGTGCCTTAGAAATTAATGACTTCTCTTATGTGTATTTTGTTTCTTCATTCCAGTGTTGTTTCCTTTGCTGGGCAAAGTTGTTTTCATTTCATGTAATTTCTCATTTGTCAATTCTAAGAACTATTTCCTACATATTAGAGTTCTTTTTAAGAAATGTTTGCCTTTGCCTGTGTCTTCAGGTGTTTTACTTAGATTTTCTTCTAACTTTTGATAAGTTTCTTGTCTCACTTTAATGTCTTTTATCCATTTTGAATTGATTCTGTGGAGGGTGAGAAATGGAGATCTAGCTGCACCCTTTTACAGTATAAATCATTTACCTGGAGTCATTTGTAAGAGAGGCTATTTTGTCTCCAATTTATATTTTGAACAGATGACTGTGGCTATATGATTTTAATCCCAAGGTCATCTATTCTAGTCTATTGATCTACATATCTGGTTTGTGACAGTACCACACTGTTTTTGTCACAATGACTATGTAATACAATTTGAGATTGGACATTGTGACATATCCTGTATTATTCTTTATGCTAAGAATTACATTAGTTACTAGGAGATTTGTGCTTCTGTGTGAGCTTTCAGATTGTCTTGTCTTGTGAAGAATACCATTGCTATTTTGACAGGAATGGCTTTGAACATGTGCATTGCTTTCAGTAACATAGCCATCCATATACACAATATTCTGCCTATCCAAAAGAGCAAGAGGTAGTTCCAACTTAATAACAGATACTGAGAAAATCCAGAGAATCCTTAAGTCATACCTTGAAAACATGTACTCCACAAAAATTGGAAAATCTAAAAGAAATGGACAATTTTCTGGATAGGTGCCACATACCAAAATTAAATCAAGAGCATATAAACAATTTAAATAGACCTATAACCCCTAAGGAAATAGAAACAGTCTTCCAACCAAAAACAGCCCAGGGCCAGACGGTTTCAGTGCAGAATTCTACCAGAACTTCAAAGAAGAGCTAATACCTGTACACCTTAAATAGTTCCACACACAGAAGGAACACACCCAAATATTTTATGAGCGCATATTTTCTTAATAATTGTTCCATTTTTCAGTATGAAGTAGTTTTCTTTGTCCCTTCTAATTTTGATTTGAATATACTTCATTTGGTAGAAGAACATCTTTATCAGATTCTTTCATTTCCATTTGCTTGATTTTTTCCCATTCTTTTTTGATTAGTCTGTGGTTGTCTTTACTAGTATGTTGTGTTTCTTAGCAATAACAGAAAGGTAGATCTAGTGGTTTTGGCTTTCTTTTTTAATTCAGTGAGCCAGTCTTTTCTTTTCATTGGTGAATTGAATCCTCTTGTATTTAAGGTTTTTACTAAGCAATACGTTCTGTGTTTGATAATTTTGTTAGCTGTTTATTGTTTGATTTTCTTTCTAATCTTTCTATTAGGAACTTTCTGATTTATGGTGCTGTACATGATGAACTCTTTTTCAGCTCTTCATTGTTTAGGCATTTCTCCCACAAAATGTGTTTCCTGTGCTCTTGTATTTGAGCCTTTCTTCCCTCCTCTTCCCTTTTTTTAAAAATTTAAATTATTACAAGGATGCTTCACATGTCAATTCCAGCTCTCTCCCCCTCTCCCTTTCCCTCTCCCTCCCCTCTCCTCCCACACCCTCTCAGGAACTGCCCTCCCCCTTTCCCAATCTGTATTCCTTTCCCCAGGAATGGTGAGGCCCTACATGGTGGAGGGTATCCATAGTCTGTCATTTCACCCAGGGCAGGGCCTAGGCCCTCCCCCAAGAGTCCAGGCTGAGAGGGCATCTCTCATTGTGGGATGGGCACCCAAAGCGCATTTTTATGCCAGGGATACTGATCTACTACCCAAGGCCACAGAAATTGCCTAGGCCTCCTCACTGACACCCACATTCAGGGGGTCTGGGTAAGTCCCATGCTGTATTCCCATCCATCAGTCTGGGGTTCAAGAGTTTCCCCTTGGTCAGGTCAGCTGTTTCTGTGGGTTAAACAAGCCCAGTCTTGACCCCTTTGCTCATCAGTCCTCCCTCTCTGTCACTGGGTTCCTTGAGTTGAGCTCAGTGTTTAGCTGTAGGTGTCTGGCTCTGCATCTATCAGTTATTGGTTGAAGGTTCTGTTTCCCCAACTCCCTGACTGTGGGATTATAGGCTATCACTCCCCAGCTTTATGTCTAAAATCCATATATGAGTGAGCACATACCATGTTTCTCTTTTTGTGACTATGTTATCTCACTCAGGATGGTTTCTTCTAATGCCGTCTATTTGCCTGAAAATTTCAAGATTCCATTTTTTCCTCTGAATACTACTTCATTGTGTAAATGTACCACATTTTCTTTATCCACTCTTCAGTTGAGGGGTGTCTAGGTTGCTTCCAGATTCTGGCTATTACAAATAATGCTGCTATGAATACAGTGGAACAGACATCCTTGTTGTATGAATATGCATCTGTTGGGTATATGCCTAAGAGTGGAATTGCCAGGTTTTGTGGTAGGCTGAATCTCCATACTGATTCCCAAAATGACTGTACGAGTTGGCACTCCCACCAGGAGTGGAGGAGTGTTCCCCTTTCTCCACATCCTCCCCAGCATAAAATGTCACTGGTGTTTTTGGTTTTAGCCATCCTGACAGGAGTAAGGGTGTATCTCAGAGTTGTTTTTATTTTCATTTCCCTGATGGCTAGGGATATTGAGCACTTTCTTTTTTTATTATTAATTTTTTTATTTTTAGGTTTAAATTTAGATTATAAACATGGTTGGTTCACAAGTCAGTTCCAGGTCCCTCTCCCTTTCCCTCCCCTCCTCCCGTGCCCTCCCCCCAACTTCCCCATTATCCCCTCATTTCCCCAGGGAGGGTGAGGCCCTCCATGGGGGTATCCATAGACTGTCAGTGTGGCTGGATTGATGTTGAGGTCTTTGATTCATTTAGACTTAAGTTTTGTACATGGAAATAGACATGGATCTATCCACATTCTTTTACTTTCCAGCATCCAGTTATGCCAGCACCATTTGTTAAAGATGCTTTATTTTTTACATTGTATATTTTTAGCTTCTTTGTTGAAGATCAGATGTTCATACGTGTATGGGTTAATATCGGGGTGTTCAATTCAATTCCATTGGTTTAACCTGTCTATTTTTGTGCCAATACCAGGCTGTTTTCAGGACTATAGCTCTATAATAGAGCTTGAAATCAGGCATGGTGATGCCTCCAGACGTTGCTTTGTTGAATAGGGTTGTTTTGGCTATCCTGGGTCTTTTGTTTTTCCATATAAAGTTGATTATTGTTCTTTCAAGGTCTGTGAAGAATTGTGCTGGGATTTTAATGGGGATTTCATTGAATCTGTAGATTGCTTTTGGCAAGATTGCCATTTTTACTACATTGATCCTACCTATCCAAGAGCATGGGAGATCTTTCCATTTTCTGGTGTCTTCTTTAAT